CAATCTGTAATAGAAGACGTGAGGAAATTCTGTCTTTTTTAAAGACAAAAATTTTTGAGGCGAAATACCCAACAAGAAGTTTGTAAAAAAATTAAAATTTACGTCATAAATTATTTTGCTATAGGAGGAAGAGAGGATGCAGATATTTCTGGATTCGCATTTTGACACTAACAGGGCGCAACCATAAAATTACTTTGAAAAATTCGCCATTTCCCAGAAAATTTACGCGTAAACAGAAAAGTGAGTAAACTTAAGCCTGTTGTATGCAAAAGCGATTGAATCGAACATACCGATTTAAAAACGCAAAAAATACTAATCTACTAACCTGCTTGTATTATTTTCTAAAAGAGTTTTGTAGAGGAATTGAAAACATTCCAGTTAAAAGAGCATTTTTATATCAGTTGCACAATGCCACTTTTGAAGTAGAATTAATTAGATTGAAAACCAGCATTTAGAAAAAATAATATCCGATTTATTGATGTGCAAAAGCTCATTTTCAGGGCATTTTTACATTCCGAATGATGGAACTTTAATGAAATCACCACCCAGAAGTAAAAACTACACTATGCGACAATGTTATAATAGGTATTAAAAGATCACGGCCTTCAAACACCCATTTTATTAAAATTACGTATTTAACTCACAGGGTTTTAAAATGTTTTATAGTATTTTAAGTGGAACATGAATAGGTATTTATTGGGATTCTACTTAACATTTAATTTAAAACAGAATATCTGCCGATTTGCTATGATTCGCCCGAGTGGCGATATAACTTATAACTTTGGGAAATAACTTGATTTACTTTATTAAATTGATATCTCAAGTGATAGTTTCGCACAGCTATTTCCAGGAATTTAGTTTTCTTTCTCTGCAAATAAAACCATCTGGATTGTGTTGTTACTATACCTACCTCTTGATACTTTTTTTATTTTCCAACTATATGGCAGAAGAATTCTAAAAATAGAGATCTATTTTCACTAGTAAGACTAAAAGTATCCCTGTTGCTAACTCTGATTTTTCAGATTTAAAACATATGTTTAAATTTTATGCTCGAATTTAATCAGATTTTTATTAATGATTATGCAATAATACCCAAAACAGTAAAATTCGTACATACTATTGAATGACATACTTTAAAATTCCCTGATGTGCTCTCAAGAATAGGAAACTTTCCATGTGAGTTGATATTCCATGATATTAAAAAAAAAATATGTACTGTGTGACAATTTGAAAATTTCTGAGGATAAAAAAAATGCATTTCGCTTGTATCTCTCTCTCTATATCTAGAGCCTTTAAGCCTATTTTCCGGTCAAGAATCGGTCAATTTTAATACTTTTCTAATCAATTGGTGGGCCAAGGACTTTGACTATCTGCCCAGTACATAAGATTATGACCTAATTAAGATTAATGCCCAAATTGTTAAAGGCAATTGATAATGTTGAACTCAACAATGATTCATGCCAGAACAAATATGAAATAACATATAACTATCATAAATTATAAGAGAGCAAAACCGGATATTTTCAAATTAGAAGCTATGGAATTTAGTTTTTCATCTGTTTTAAATAATGGGACAATATATTTTATTGTGGCTTGGTTAATGATTTAAATATATATTTTCTGCAATATGTTTAATTAGAAGAGCATGTAGAAGTAGATGGAAACCGTTAGACAAATTATCCAAATGAAAATCTTCACATCCTCTATTAGATACATAAAAGTATGTACATACATATGTATACGTCAGAAGAGTGACAATCGGATTAACATATCCGCAATATTACCCAGTTCTACAAGTTCATAAAACTGTCTCTGTAAAAAAAAATGGACAATCATTGTTGAAGCATGATTCAGCAGGTCAGCTCAAAAATCCCTGCAGAATTCTAAATTTAGATTCGCAACATTTCATTGCGAGATATATCGTCATAGTTGGTTCATGAAAATACACCCATTATAAAAATTGTCCAGTTACACAACAATCGTGGACCATGCGAAATTGTTTGTGAACACCATTGACGTCAGGCCGCATCTTGGAATCGAACTGAGCAAAGCTAGCAGACATCGGAAAGAAGCTGTTTCTCATTACGAGATTTATGTGCTTTGCTTTTCGTAGTCTGGGTGAATAACCGAATTATTTTGATTAATATGTTTTCGTAATCAAACTTTTAATTCGAAAATTAATTAGCTCAGATTGTACGCCTTAAATGGCCATAGACAGAGTTGAATGTTGATCGCTAAAAAATGTATCACAAACCAAATGTTTCCAGTTTAAACAAATTAGGAAAAAACTTATGATCAAGAGAATCTGACGAAAGTATGTGTTAGATGTAAACAACAGACGCTAAAGATGGTTTTAATAGGCCTGTCTTGCATTAAATGCAGCAAACTTTAAACATTTGATACTTCAAAGCTAATTGCAGAGGTTCAAATCACACTCTGGCATCAAATCTGTGCAGGTTTTTCTGCTATACTTGGTTTGGTTCAAGGCATCTTCGTTGCACATGAAACGCCAGAAATATCTGAATACAATACAAAATTGATCAAGGCCGAAACTAAGGATTTGGAAGACGAGAGTTTGAAAACGAGAAACAAAACGCAAAAGAAAATGGATAATGCTTTTGCTTCCACAATAGTGAAGGCAAAAGAACAAACCTTTTTCTCATCCCATTCAGGTGGTGAGCTCCGGTCAATTCGCTCTATTAATTCGACTCTAAGCGACACTAGTGGATGTTTAGACAGCGATAATATGTGCAATTTAATTTTGATTGGCACGTTTTTAAAATAGTTATAATTAATAAAACATTTAAATTACAAAGGTCTCTCTTTTGGACGCAATTTCCTTCAAAGGAAAAGCCAAATGCAGCTAAAATTTGAAAAAACATGTGCTGCACGGGACGCTCGACAGAAGTGATAACTTCATATTATTAATAGAAGCCATAAAATATTGAACTTGTTTAACGCATGATGGCAATACTAATTTTTAATTTCAATATTTTTGTTAAAGTTAAAGTCTAATAATTTTTAAATGCATTAGGAGTAGGTAAAATGTAAGTCTATGACTGAAACCATTTTAAACAAACCACCAAACTTTAAAAGAAAACGGATAATGCGATTGCATTCTCAAATTTGAGGACACAAAATAAAATAACCACGCGCAAAAAAGAAACCTTTTTTTGTCGCAGTCATGTAGTGGGCTCCAGTTAATTTGTTCTATTTATTTTTAATAAGCGTATTTTTAATTCTCACTACAGTTACGCATAAATAGTTCTCACTATTTATTTTGATGCGAACCGTCGCTAGTGAAACTTGTTCAGTTCAGTCAGATGTTTCATGTTTCTATTGCGCTTATAATTGAAATTTCATTTTGATTGTGTTTTATTTATAATGAATTAATGGATACAACATTCAACATTCAAAGACGCAAACAGCTAAACAAAATTGATTGGAACTGACTCTGTGGAAGACAAGAGGAGTTCGAAAATACCAAAATGTAGATAATGCCATTGGAATCCTAATATTGGCCACAAAATAAAATAGAATAGAATTGTGTCCAAAAACGGAACATTTTCCTCATCCCAATCAGGCAGTGAGCTCCAGTTAAGTCGCGCACATCACAACACATATTGGGAATAAAATATAGAAATTGCGGCAAAATTATCATACTTATTCCACCTACTTAAGAAAGGAGAGTTTTCTGAGTTCACTCCCCCGTAAACATTTTGGAGTGAAAAAATTAAATTAAGAAATTAAGCGGTGATTCGCCCGGACTAAAAGAAATCTCTTCAAAGAACATCTTCGCCGGTATCACAGCTCACGCATTGGCCTCTCTTCCGGGCACACTTCAGCGGAGCGGGTGGGGGGGTTTTCATTCATGAAAAGCGTTGCGCCGCCCAGTTGTGACACACCTCTTCAATTTTATAGATATAGTTGTATTCAGAACGTATAACCGTCAGAAAGAATTGAGAGCTCGGGCTCGCATAGTACCTACCTTGCCAAACCAGGCTAACCCACCATTGAAACAATACGCGTTCAGTGTCATACTTGTTCACAATACGGGACAGTCGCCACAACAATCTCAGTGCTTCCGAAGAAGATGGAGTTGCAAATTGAGCAAGTTCTCAACAGAGACCAAAGAACCGCCAAGTCGACACACTCATTAGACCAAGACGATTGCTGTCGCAATTACACACAGAGCCAATTGGAGCAACCCATAACACACCACCATGCCAAGCGAAGATTCGCTGCGACTTCTTCGGACGGCGCTCCTCAAAATAGTTCCTTAACAAGTATTTGCCATAATCAGTATTTTTTCACAACCGCAAGACTGCCGTATCAGACTGAGGTGCCATGTGAATGTGGTAACAGAGTGAACTATCATCCGGAAGTCAGCGAGATCACATCGGCCCGCTTTAGATCCCGCCGCAAACGTAAGTACGATCAACAATGTCCAATCAGGGTTCAAGCAGGTCGCTTATAGACCGGGTTGTGGATCGATTTGCAGCTTTTCTTCCAGTTCACGTTCTGGCATATAATTCCTCTAGCTCTTCACTGGGCTTCAATTGGACAGGTTTCTGGCTGCTTTATATCGATCTCTTCCCAAGAGTTTGAGACCTTTGAACAACCAACTCGAGGAAGAGCAGAACATGCAGTCCTTCTTCCGAATTTGGATAAACAACTAAAGTCTACTGTTTTCCTGCATACTTTCATAATCTCCCAAATCGCTTAACTTGGATGATCTTGGCATTGAACATCACTCAGTTAAATAAACACCGTCAATCTTGCTTCAGAAATAAGCTTTCTCCAGTTAATTTCCAACCAAACGCGCCAAGTCATGGCCATCAAACGTGAAATTCGACGGCAGACTCGTCATCCCCAATTCCCAAGAAAATTCGCCTGAATTCCGCGAAAGGCTGATCTCGGCACTTCATTGGCCACCTGTTGCAGCGCGTTCCCGCCTCTTTTGTATTCGATACCTTAGTTTATGAGAGGTTACATGCTGTTATTTACTCCGCATTACATAAAGCCGATTGCCTATTTTATTTTCTGGGAAATTCAATTGGAGCGTGTCACGATTCTGTTTGTTGTGAGCCACATTCTTCCGTTGTGTTTGATATTTCGCTTCTTCAGTTTCATCAATGGGTCCTGGCTGGGTTGGGCTGACTGGTTAATATTGCCGAAAAAACATTGCGTCTTATCTACTGTTTAAAATATTTGTTGGTGTTTAAATGTAACGCGTTGAAACATGCTTATTATGTTTTAAAAAAATATATTTTGGTTAATTTAATTTATTATTTGTCCTCGCTTTTGTTACATTTACATTTGCATTCAATTCCACAGCAATTAATTGCGGTAAATCTCCTACTGGTCATCGAAAGCAGTTTTAAAAAATTTTTGCTCTATAAATGCGTACTAATGCGTCCTTTGGTCGGTTCGTTCGTTGATTTACATGCAAACAAAAGGTAAAACTTTAGTTTGATTTTGGGAGGAAAGTTTGCTATACTCAATTTCCTGTTTTTATAGCTGTTTAGCTTTTACATATTTACAGGAAGATTCCAAACAGGTGTTGTCATAATTAATTGTTCTTTATTGTGCCAAGCATCGAATTTTATACCCATAGCAAAATCGTGAATTTTCATAATATCATTACTTTTTTATTAAATATCTGAACGTTTTTTCACTATTTTCAATACTTAATTTCAATTAGATAACTATATTGTTCAGGCGGATTCATTTTTTTGCATGAATATGATCATAAACAATCTTTTTTAAAGACAAACATTTTTGAGACGAAATACCCGACAAGCAGTTTGTAAACAAAAATAATTTGAATTGTTTTGACAGTGATTATAATAATTTATATTTGGAAAAATGCATATCTGCCATGCAAAGGAAAGTATTTAAACAATTTAACTTGATTCAATTATCCATATTTTATGTATTTCCTCAATTGGTTTGTAAGTGTTTACGAATCCACCTGTCGATTTTTCAAAAATATCCTATTATAAAGACCTGAACAGTCCGACTTAGAAGGTGATACTATTATGTCTGTGCATGGCAATTTTATCGATGTTTGGTCAATTAAGCAGTAGATTGTTTAAATGACTAATTAACAAATGCAAATGAAACGTTATAAAACACGATGGACAATTTCTATAACTTTCCTCATTGTACGCTCTACGTAGATTGAATGCAAACTCAAATCTTGCGCTGATCCCATGGAAAAAGTATTTCAAACGATCCCACCAACCAAGTCCATAAACAAGAAGAACTGTTTGGTGTTCTATTTTTGCCGTAATTTTATAACGATAAAATAGAATTACCGCAACAAAAACACCGTTATCGTGCGCTCCTTTGTCAACCGTGACAGAAAAAGCCTAATTAAATTACAAAAAACCCGGGCAAAAACGCAGTTTGAAAAATAATCCTGCCTGGCAAATTACTGACGGAGTGGAAATGCTTCGCGCACCTGAGAGCAATTTGAGAAAAATGCCAAGGAAATGTCATAACGATGTGGTAAATGATAGTAAATGGTGGACATTGCAGTAATTATAGAACATTAGCACTTATTGTTAAATACGCCAGTTAAATAGTTGGGTTGTCTTCGGGCTTGTAGCGAGATCGTAAAATAAATAGAAGAGAACATAAAACGCGATGGTTTATGTGCTCTCTGGTCGATGACCACTGATTTATCGGAGCCTCTGCCTGATTTGAGAGTGCGGCTTTTTTGCGTCTGCATAAACTTAATCGGACCGTTAAATTAATGTAAATCAACTACTATGCGGGGACTCACCACAAATCGCCTAATTCCCAGGTCAGCTTTTCCGAAAGGCCTTTGACACCAGAAATCAGATCCCAACCATCTCTGAAACGAGAAAAAAAATTAAAATATTTTTACCAATTATTCAAAAAACACTTGAGAATCGTCCGAGCAATGTCGGTGTTGGTCGGGGTCAGGCCCCCAGAAAGCAATAAAAACAAAAAGAGAAGCATTCTCACGGGTATATGGCTTTGTGTGTAATGTCCACACAATCTTGTATATATATTTAAACAGCATGTTTCATTCTGCCATACCGCTTCTTTGAATAATATTTATTTCTTTCGCCGGCCGACACAGGCCAACTTTGCCTGTCGCTTTTAATGTTCTTTTACTTCAGATGGTGCGTCCGATACACTGCTAAGGACTCGACAACTTTTCACTAATTCAAAGCATTTTCATTTATTACCCGGCGGCCACAATAAATCGCTCATTAATACCATCACTTACGAAACACACCGATATGGACCAGTTCGAACTAAGAAAGAATTGCCTTTGAAAAATTTGATTAATAATTAAAAACGTATTAAGATTCACTATTAAAAAACTGTAATTTCGCTGAAACATCCGCAAACAGATAATTTTAAAACAGTGCAAAATAATTCAAAGTACACAAGTTTGAAGGCGGGAAAGTAATTTAGATGAAATGAATGAAAACAGGACATGAACAAAAACATGCGGATTTTGGCACAGGATCAAGCAACAGAAGAAATAATAAATTCTCATCATTTCCCATTAAGGAAAGTTTATTAACATTTTTGAAAACTGTTTAACCCCATATAGTTTTTTGTGACCACCGCTCCTTTAACATATGAAACGACTGCAAACGTGGCACTTCAGTGGATGTTTGATGGATACTTTGGTTTCCTTGTGTAACCGTTCGAAACCTGCCACTTGTGAACAACGACATCGTCAGACTGACAATTCCACCAAATGAAAAATTAAAAAAGTCCTGCCCAATTCTAGAGTTATTTTTCCTCGGTCCAGACGAAATTATTCATGGCGTTCCCCAAAAAGTAAGTTATTCTCTCGCGCCTCCAAAGCAAACATTCCTAGGTTCCCAAAAATAGCTTAGTTTTATCTTCACTCTACTCCTGTTATTATTTGCCCGAACAAAATGCTTGAAATTGTACACTAATCCTAAACAATATTGACTTCTCATTCCTTTATCTAACTGATTTTGTTCTTATTTCCAGAAGTCTTCAGTCTACTTCTATTCACATACGTGTCGTTCCTAGTTTTGCCTTCTATTAGCAGTACACCCATAGCGCCCAGTTCTAGGTCAGCGTCTATCGGAACCTCTCAAATGGACAACGAGAACGACTCTCTCCTTCGAAATCTGATTCCTGCTCATCGCTCTGCCTTCACAGCACTAGGAGTCGCTAAAGAGCTAAAAACCTACTTCTTGAGCCTCAAGGTAAGTCTGCGCTGTATGCATAGGTCTTATAAACGGAAACTGAGTCAGAGGGACAGCTCACAGTTGATTGGAGGAAACAATATTTTGTAGTTCCTAGACCAAAACTATGATGATCTCAGTGATCAGAAAATTTTCTCTGCTTTTATTAATCATTGATTGATCAATATGCCCTTGCACGATTTATCGCACACACTCAACCACCCTGTATCTTTTGATAAGTCTCGCATCGTATAATGAATATATGATTTATTGACTCATGAAAATGTGACTCATTTACCGTGCAACATGACCTAGTTATATTAATGACATGAATAGCGGAAAGCATTGAGTCCACTGCGCCCAAGAAACCTACAGAACGGCGCTTACTACAGTGTTGGATGATCTCCTTGGGAGTTGAAAAATCTCGCAGGATTTCGCAGAATTTTACTTTATCAAAATTAGCTCTCCATTTGTGGCGTTGTAAGTGTTCAAACCAATTCTCCATAATTTAGTCCGTTATTGCCAACAATCGCATACCTATCTAGAAAGTTTGGAGCTTGCAAGCTCTACCCCGTTCAACCTCTTGGGTTTTAAAGCTTCCTAATTATCTTAGGCAACTGTAAAAGTGTGCGTATGTTTTGCTAGTTCTCTTAGCATTATCACCCAATAATCTCAATTTCTACGTTTTCTCGAAAGCACATGTCCCACAATTGTGACAAAGGTCGCACCATTTGAGACAGGAAGGATGTGGTTCGCGTCTTCGTCAGGATCTCGAATAATTTAATAGTAACTGAAGCCAGTCAATCCGTGCAAGAATTCAAATTGCCTTCTTCGGATGAATACTAATTGGGCCCATATATCGATTGACTTGTGGGTGCCTAAAATTCTACGGGCACGCACGATAATGCGTAGTTCACCAGTGCCGTCACCTCTAAATTGCAATGACTAATGAATGAATTGCAGGTATTTGGACTCGTCTCATTTGTATTACCTTCAATAGAAAGAAGGATATTTAACTCGAAAAACTTATCAGTTAGTTCAATTTTAGATTATGATTAGCATACATATTTTTCTCCAAATTACCATCTGTTTCTGAACTATCAACAATCTTCTTGATAACTTATCATAAATGACACTGCAATGAATGAATTAATTGAATTCATTGCAAACAGGTTAAATTTATACCCGTTTCACGTTCGAATTTTGTAGATGATTCTTCAAATTCAGATTTATTGTTCTTTTCTGCATCTACACTTCCTTCTCAACTCTTTCTAAAGTGTAGGTTTTTATTCGGTGATTTACTTGATTTTCTTGATAAGTTTGTGCTCATGAAGTAGAAGTTCGTCACGAAAGTGTTTTGCGTTGTTTTGCGAATCAATCCTGAGGCGAATGGCAAATGCAATTTTTCGCACTTAAATTTGAGCTCTTAAATATAAACGGTAGCTCAGCATGCAAAATTTGAAATGGATCTTGATCATCTTAATCAAAAATCAAATCAAAAAAAAGTACGCATAGAGCATACTTTAGGCCGGAGGGAAGCAAGACTGCAATTTTCTGAGCACGAATTTAAATTCGCATCATTTTCTGATTTGAACTCAGAACAGATTATCTTTTTGACAAACAACTGTTGGAAATTTATTATGCTTTAAGTATTTTCGGGTCTTAAATACAGAATTTTATTTTCGTCTTCCTCTTCAGCTTCTCACATTTTCATTCAGCAGAAGGCTTTACGATGTCTGGCGGGTGTTTAGAAAACACATTCGTGTAGAACATTGTTTACAAGTTTATGTTAACCCTTGCATCAATAATAATCCATGAACTCTGTTTAAATCTTTTAAAAAATAGTCTGCCATTCTGTTAAACGAAGACACAAAGAACACCAGATATAAAACTACTTTTCATGTTATCTTCAATAGCTTAGAGAGATTATATCCAATGGGAACAGAAGCGATTATTATTATCACTATTAACTTAAAAATTACTATTTGAATTCCTTTCTTCTGCTCACAGTAGGAAAAACAGGTTTTTCTTAATCCTGGGAACAAAACACATCGGCCAGCATTTAGTTGTTGCCATTGTGTTTGGCTCCTTAAATGGCTGAAATAATTCAAACAAATCACGTCGGTTGCATAATGTGCGATTTGTTGCTCCATTGGCTGAAAACCAGTTGTTTTCTTCGACTTTTGAAGCTAAGCCATTACGAGCCGTTGCAGTTAGCAACGTAATAGTGGAATCTCTTAAGTGTTTTGTTGGGTTACTCACATCTGACGTTGTGGTCTTTGCTATGGACATAATTGTAAAGCAGAAGTCGCAAAATTGAAGACTAAAGTTTAGCTGAAACCGTTCCAAGTATTCAAAAGTTCTAGGCTGCTTCTTCCTTTGTGCAGTTTAGTCCATTTCTGCGCCTAATAGGCTCGTATTCGACGAGAAGTTGAAAATTTTAAATTGAAAATCCAAAAGTGTCTTGCAAGCTTACTAAATGTTAGTGATTATTTGGATGTAGGTATATGGTACTCTGTTCAAGTAAAAATGCGCTAATCATTAAATAAGCGCAACATAATAGGTTTTTCCAACTTATTTGTCCTTTTTCAAGGAACCTTTGAGTTTTGTGGGCTTTTGGGCAGTTGGCGTAAACCACTTGTCAGTCCAATGCGTACTCTGGACTCATGCAGCCAAAATGTCTTCTTAATGTTTTTCTGATAAGGTCGTCTCTAAACGTTGGATTCTTCAACTCGCTTTATCTTAAATATTTCCAAATCTTGTGTGAAAAATAATTTTCAAAGTGAATCAATTTTAGTGTAAAATCGCCAAAGAGAATTGAAAAAGGCAAAAAAAATCCTGCTTGCCATTCTTTGAGTTAATTGTAACAACACCAATATACATATCTTCTATTTGATAGTGGACAATAAAAGAACAGACAAATCATTGTCTTGAGACTGTTAAAATATTCCGCGATGGAGGAAACCTTGAGGTTCTTCTGACGTCCTTGATGAAACCATTGACACGATTGGAACATGAAGAGGTTTTATTCGGGACCATTGTTTTCAAAGTATTCAGACTGTCGAGCAAACAACCTAAAAAATGCCGGTACACACGACCAGTCACGTGGTTCGCCGAAGAATTGCACTGACTTCCGACGATCGGGCGGATGTCCCGCCAAGACATCCGATAGATAAGGACGGCACCTTGCACCAAACGAACCACTAGAGAGAAATGGAAAATATGATAGTGTGTAATCGGACGACGACGGTACGATTTTCCTTCTACGATTTGTAGTCAATGCTTCATTAAATACGCGATCCGCATTGCATACTGATTGGCTGGCGGATGGGAGATTGCAGGAAGTTTTGCTTTCTTTTCATTTTAATGCTTGGCATCTTTTTATCGAATATGGGGAATAGAAGGAGAAAGAGGCTGCACTCCCGAGGGAGTTGATCATGTAGGAAACATAAGAGCCATTGACTGGATGTGAGCAAAAACCTTCTACAATGAATGTTGAAAACTGCCGAAGTGCGACTGGATTTTACCGCCGTGTTTCTGCTCACTGCAAATTCTTAATGAAACGTTGTAGAATTCAACAGGAGATCAAATATAGATGTTGATCCGCCTGAAAGGTCCTAGAAAATAGTTGAAAATCCAGATGCTGCACTTGCAGCAAGTGAAATACCGATAAGATTAGCGCTTTTCATGCCCGAACGATGCCTGCTGTTTGAACTCTCACCAATCTCCATGTGCGGCGGCCGCCAGTCTAGCTGGTAGGCGATGACGTTTCGCCAAGGTCGGATTTGTTACACGCAAACGTAACGTTTTACAATATTACTACACGATTACATTAGATTTTACAAAGTTGCCGCCGCTCATAGATTAAAACGGATTTTCCCATCAGCTGATCGCGCTTATCGCGTTTTTGCTGTTTACGAAAGGAGGACTTCGAAAGGAGGATTTACTTCCGCGTCTATGCATGCTATGCACTTGATTTTTTTGTATTACTGAGTGTGCCATTCACTCGCACCAACATGTCTTGATGGAGCTTTAGGTGTTGAAAATGGAGTATATTCGGGAACTAATGCGGTATTCACAAGATGCGCTTTTGCATTATTGGTGTTTATTTACCTATGAGAAGTCAGGCAGAGAACTTAAGGAAATTGCTGGCTTACAGTTAAATAATTAAAGGCGAAGAAAGGAAGTAAGAGAATGGACTACGAATGGAATGGCTTCATATTGGCGCCCTAAGTTCCGGCGAATGTATGTGAATTTTGAGCAATTTGGTGCCGCAATTCTAAAACACGTCGATCCGAATTTAAGCCTAAAAATTGAAAAACTACTAAAACCTTTTACTTCAACTCTGGAATCCAATGATTTTTTAGTAGCCTTGATGATAAAGTCCAGTCATCACTCACTAGCAAGTGAATTTTTTCCGCAAATGCACTTTAATCTCCTGAACTCAAATCTAAGCACTTTGAATGCAATTCACTTTAAAATTTGAATTATGCTAAATATTACTTTGGAAAATCTTATCGTAGTTAAATAATTGTTCGTAAAAACATCAAATACTGCCTTCCGAGAAAATGTTGGAAAATACGGAAAACCCCTGATTTCCATAACGTTACGACAACACTAATGTTCACTCCATAAATTGCGTCAGACTATATGTTTCTTGGGTACTGCCTATCGCAGATAAATAATTAATTATAAAAGCTGATATTTTCTTAACAAAAGTTCGGTAATATTGCCTTCTTTTGCACTAAAGAATGCCGCAGTGCCCTTTTGATCATGTGCTTATGAGACAGCCTGTATAACAAATCCATTAATTATATTTGCAACTCAAAGTAGCACCGACGGTTTCTAAAATGGGGATTTCTATTCTTAAAGCTATGGTCAAAATTGCTTTGCAAATATTGCGGCTTTTGTCAGAAATATTTCCGGGTATACAATAGCTGACGTTCAGGTCAGCCGTTCGTCCCTAAACGGCTCAGAAAGTTCATATCTGGCAAACGACTGATAGCTGATTGGTCTAAGGGCCATTTTGATGCCACAATGCGCTTTAAAATGGCCCCAAAGTCTTCAAAATTTCATATCTCGACGCATAAAGCGATTAGCACAGACATCTTTGATTATTGTTCGGCAGAAAAATTTTAATTTGCTCTTATTGTTTTTCCTTACTGGTTTTCTTATCTTATTTTTCTTTCTCTATTATTATTAAAAACTCTCTTTTAGTGAATCCAAAACTCGGTTTGGCACAGTTTGGTTCCAGATTTAACTGGTTGAGGAGCCCCAAAATCTGAAACAAACATTCGAGATATTTTTCATAATTTTCGCTTAAGACACTTAATGTGCGGCCCGGAATTCATATTGTGCGAATTTAAAATCTCAATAGTAGATAAAGAAACGATTTGAAAATTTTTTAAAAATGATTTAAACATTGTTTTGCTCTCACCATAGCCTCAACATTAATTTTGGTAAATTCCGGAAACATCCATTTTTTTAAATCAGATATCTGCATGCCTACCAAGATCTTCAAATTAAAAAAACTATCTCCAAAGTTTACAATTAAAGTTACAGTCTACAAAGCACGCAACATCAACGTTATTTCATTGAATTAGTTATTGTGTTTTATTATTTTATATACCTATTTAAATATTTTATTAAAATTATGTTTGAAATAGTGGAGCTTCGCTTAAATTTATGTCAGAAACGGCAATCTAGTCAATATATGCATACCGTTTAGAAAATAAAAATAAAGTTGTGTTCTGCTCGTCTTCTAAAGACAAAAAAGGACTTTGTATCGTATTTTCCTTCTGTAAATACACTCAATTAGGTTTCCTTGAAGGAAAACCTGGAACCAACTGATTTCTCTGAACGGTTTTTATTGTTTCGGATATCCAGAGCTGGCAAGAGAAACCCAACAAATTTTCTGATCTCCTGTTCATTTTTCTCGCGAAATGTGAATCAAATAGCACCCGAAACTTACGTCGACCAGATAGATTCTCTCTCAACTAGACATTTTCAGTAAAAGAAAAACATGGTTTTGTAGTGGACTTTATGTAATCCTTAGATATATACAGGGTATCTGAGTTTTTCTAATCTGGATGATCAAGCAAAACTATGGACAAAAACGAATTTTAAAATATGTTTGTTATATCTTAATGTTCCTTTTTTTTCATATTCAGAGTGTTTAAAAATGGCAAAAGATGTTTGTATTTATTATATCCGTACCGTTAAACTGAATATATCTAAACTACTCAACACAACGTTTATTAGTTTCGAAATCCAGACGAAGTCAGCGAAACACCCAAGTTGTGCGACTTACTATTTGCTGCTCTTACTTGTCTACCGCAATAATATTTTTGTATGTTCTCGATATTTGGTTTCAATCTATTATATGTGTCACATTTGGTTCGAATTGCTTGAACATTTCGGATATATAAGAAGATAAACACATTGTTTATTTTTGCATCTCGTATATCAAGACTGGAATAGAAAACGTAGGTATCAATGTTTATGTGACAAACATCTTAAAAGGCATTTTTCTAACCAACTAACTAGAGACAATTCATATTAATATCGCTCCTCCCGCTGTCTCAGTTTCTCACTTTCTTATTTAATTGTTCGTGTTTTTAGACGCTAGTTTTTTGTGCTTTAATGCTCATCTAACCTTTACTTCCAGCCTGCTGACCTCGAGAAGATCTACAATGAGATCAGATTCCCTAGATTGCCGTCTTATCCGCTCTACAATATGTCTGATGAAGAAATAGTTGAGATGAAAAATGTGCTGGATAAAACTGACGTAAGTAAAACAGAAACGGAAACTTTAAGCACCAAGTTTTGCTTAAATTTGCTGGTCCTCCTTCAATATCTTAAACAGCAATTTTGCCTGTTCACAAAAATTGCTGTATTTTTCAGAAATAACCGACGTTTTCACTCAAATAGTAAAATATCGGTCATTTCTAGAAAAAGTCGTGTTTGTATCCAGGCGCTAACCGAAACTGCACAGAGCCTTAAAAAGCAATTGAAAACATTTTGTTTTTTTTACAGCCTAAAACAGCATTCCGTAGTGTTCTGCACGACATTGAAATTGTCCAAATAGTGTACAATGTGATTGCGGATAGCTTTGAGAAGCACCCCCTGAAAGCCCCATCTGTGGAAAATAATTTTGATTTCATAGAGAAGTGCAAAGTTATGAGGGGTTTATTGTCCAACGTTAGGATCGATCTGTCTGAATTTGTCGCAATCAAACCAGAGGATGAAGATGAGGCGCCTGAAATTATTACCAATGAAATGATAGATCAGATGTCCGAAACACAGAAAGTGGACGTCGATTGGATGGTTCTTCGAGCTCTGGTCGAAGTGTTGGAGTACACTGCTATGCTTTTTGAGCACTACAAAGTGCCAACAGAATAAATGATGGCGAGAATTGGGATTTTTTCTATACTACTCAAAATTGATTTCTATAGAGTGGACATTTTCGGATTTTTATCAAGCTGGATCTAATCATCTGGATACTTGAAATCTATTTCGCCGATAACCTACCTGGGCTATTATAAAAGTATTTCGCTTATCTTTAACCTAGGACTTATTTATTATTTTGTATGTATTTTTCATATTTATTTTCATAATTGTAGTTTCTTTTCGTATATTGTACTTGTATTGTATTTTTGAATAACATTTTTACATCAAACTTACTACTAGTGTCCTATTTACAACGAAATCGTGCATAGTTTTAAAAAGTATGATTATTTTACAAATATAGTTTATATTTTTATACAGGGTGAGCCACAGAACTGCTAAAGTTAAATTATAGGAATAGGTGTCTCTTATAGTGTGGGTGGAGATGACAAAATTGACTAATATTTAATTGTGAATTTCTTTTCATAAATTTAGTTATACACCCCAATCCCATTGTTACCCTTTTGTGGTGAAACTTAACAGTGGAAGTACTGGTAGGAATTAAATTGTATTCATTGTAGATATTTTATCGATTAACTGAACTTAGCATAACTTTGACTAAGAGTGTTGCCGTTAGATCGTGCACTTTATTGATTTTTAACTGTGATACTCTCTGATTGAATAAAGCTGTGTTTGTTTTTACTGTGGCTTTTATTTCAATATTAATTCCTTTTTTCAGAGCAACCCTTTCTCGTTTTCGAGAGTAGTTGGAAACTCCACAAGGTAAGCCACAACCAACGACCACTAAACCGATTGATGGAAATCGATATAAGTAAAATAAACATGACTTTCCTAATTAAGCATTAAAATCAAAACCGTAATGTTCCGGTTTTTGTTTCACAATCCGATTGGAATTTCCCGATCATCCGTTAAAGTATTTTTGGTGTCGGATTTACCTAACCGAAGCAGCGTATTTTTCGATAAATATTTATGTAAAAAAAGGCAAACAGGTAAATAGACGTACAAATTGGGTTAATGTTGTTCTGGTGGCTTGTCAAAGAAGATTTTGTTATCTGGGATTTCTGAAATCGGAAAGTGAATAGTTTTTGCCGGATTGCTCAACAGACTTTGTCCGCTACTAATGTCCATTCTAAATTTCTAAGACCAAATAACGGTCCGTCGGGGGATCATTTTGATGTCGTAACTAAAGTTGTGCCTTTGTTGCCAACAATTTTACTATCAACCTCTGCAAGGAAGTGATTTGGACATCAATTGGGAATTTAAACCTCGCTTTATTATACAATACTTCTGTTGATCGTTGAGAAAAAAATCAGTTTGGTAATGGTTCTGCTTTTTAAGTTAGGAAAATTGGTGGAATTTTGATACAGATCATGACTTTGATTACAGCCATGATTACCACAAGGACAACATGCAATTGCTGTTGAAGAATCTTGAAAATTATTATGTAACTTTCGAATCCTGGTTCAATCAACTTAAAGCTGCAATTTTATTAGCCTAAAATGATAAAACTGAAAAAAATATGAAGGTTTTGTTTGTCCAGCTGAGAATCTTGAATTGTGGACGGTGAGCTCAACGAATAATGGATAATAATCTGATTTTGCTACACTTCTATGCAACAAAATTCAGTTCTCTTCTTCAACTATCTTCAGCAGAAGGAATTTGAAAAAGGCGACGTTTTACTGAGTTGACTAAAACTTTCATAAATTTCAGAAACAAATGATTCCTATAGATTTTCTAAATTTCAACCGAGAGTTGCAAGTTGTCAACTTTAAAAAGAGGACGATGATTTTCAGATCAGCATTGAATTGACTTGTAAAAATCAAGATTTCATGCGATGCAACTGAAACTTTCACGACTTTCACATATGAACGTCTTCGATAAATGGTCAAAATTTCAAGTTGCTGCCCAATCAGGGTTGAAAGTTGCGAATTAAGAAAAAAAGCGGGTGAAGACATGATCATTTTTATGCCAACATTGACTTGACAAAAATCGATATTTAGCGCCATTCGACTGAAATTTTCTGGACTTGCAGACTCAAATGTCTTCTATAAATGGTTAAAATTGCAAGTTGATACGTGATTCACGGTTTTTTCAATGCAAGGTGTTATTGGGTTTTCAATTTTTTTGCAGCCGGAATTTAAAAGTAGTCATAGTTATTCCAAAGAGATTTCAAATAAGAAAATTAAATTAAATTATTGATTAATTTTGTATGTCATCCGATTACCTAAATTACTATTATTGACACAGTCTTGTTGTAGCTGATAGTAAAATCTCGATCACTTTTGTCTAAATAATTAACAACTATTTTAATGAAAAATTTTTACATGATATTTTACCGCTATAAGTTTCTTGCTTGATATTAATCGAAATATTTGAATTTGTATTTGCTGACTACAAATAGAATTTCCTATAAGATTTATGAAAAGCGCTTGCTAAAAGCGCGCAAAACATAACAGTGGAAAATGGTTTATTATCCGAATTATTTAAAAAAATTTTCCGAATCTACATGAAATAACTGTATTTTATATTTACAGATAAAAATATTTAAGAATGGCGTTATAATCTGATTTGGTTTTAATATTATTTCCTACAAAAAAGCAATGGATACACTTTTAAAATCGAGTTACGTTAGCAATTAATTCAATCAGAATAAATATAAACCAATCAAAAAAATTGTTGAAAAAGTGAATTCTCATTGTGTTATATTTATTTATTTTCGATGTTTCAAACCGAGACATTAAAAGTAGTACAAATTTCAACTAAACTCTTGGAAACCAGTTTAAGCAAATTTTCTAAATATTAGTCAATTACTGTTACGCACTTTAATCCACAAATATTTCAAATGTACAGTTAATAAATATTTAAAATAATAGAGGATTTTAAGCTGATAGAAGACAACCTCATACGTTCGCACTGATGAAAACAATTACCCGATTTTGAAAAAAAACTACTCATAAATCGAACTTGAATAAAAAGTGATGAGAACCTGGAGTGATTGTGTCGTATTTGGTTAGTAATCGTACACAAGCCTGAGAAAACCCTCTTAATCACACATAATAATCACCAATTTGAACCTTAAGCAACTTTCAGTGTTGACTGAAACATGTTGACACAACTTCTTCAGTGATTATGCGACATTTCTCACCCCGTTTCAGAATAGTAAAATTCGGTTTATTTAGGAAATTAGCGCGTAATCTTTCGGTGCTGTTGCCGGCGCCTTTTTCGAAGTGTTTGTTCAGTGTTTAGTTACTTGTCACTCATCATGAGAACTTTTGTCTTCAGATTTTCGTCAATATTTGGTCGGACGATCGGGAAAATTTGAACCAGACGGGTTGAGACGAGGTCGTTTGGACTTTATATTCACAGTTTGCACTGATTAAGATACTTTGCATTTGAACATATTTATTTTCAAACAAGGATTACACCTTCTTATTGCTACTTAATCTATGGGTACTGATATATTAACATCAGTGGAGATTGTAGCAAGGCAGGAAAAAACGTTAAAAAAAGCGAATTGACACCCACAAATTAGGTGATAATTAATTGACAAGAGTAAAACAAACATAAAAAGCAGTTAACTTTTATTAATTTGCGCCTAATTCAGCAAGCAACTGCTAAGAGTCCATTAATGTCTGCGTTTGAAAACGCGATCAAAGGCCCACATCGGTTCTAAGAATACGTCGTATAATTCCCGGTACCAAACAGGTTTTACTCGCTGGCCAATAATGCATCACGCTTAAGCACTTCAATCATTATTGAAAAAAATGTAAATATTACAAAACGTTTGCCAATTTGTCTGCAGGAATACTTATTAAGCTGAAACATCATCGAGTTTGATGTTACTTTTGTTGGCCGATAATTGAATTGCATTCTTCGATGATATAATCATGAAATAAGTGTCTATAAATAAAAGTTTCGTTTTTTTTTCAGCAAAAAGCACAATGGGTTTATTCCTGATGATATGCGATACATTGATGTCGACATATTGGCCCGTAGCTTAGAGTTATACAGATTTGCAATGTAATAAACTGATTTCATTAAATGATATCGGCTTTTATATGTCAGCAGATAGGTAGGTAGGCAGGTACTTTTGAAATGCAAAAACTGCGGATTAATTTTGATAATAGAAACTTCGACAAGTATTAACATAAGAGAAATTGAGCAACATTCTGAAATAGCGATGAACCAAAATCATAGGAAAACACATTAATTTAGCGGTTATTTGCATGCTTAAAATGGTTTTGTCTTTCTCCCAATTAAACTTCAGGCGATTGAAACGCCAATCAGCCATGGCAGGCAGAAAAAACTATAAACACTATTATGCGCCATTTAATTAGAAGAATTTCCTACTGGGTCGACCAGCGAAAAATCGATAACCAAAATCTATTAATAAAATAGCGCTCATGTACCATTAAGAATCGATTTCACCTGGAAAATTACAAATTGATTGGACTAATCGGACGAAACGCCGGAGAATCCCCAGGAAATCAACATTTTAGTTTGATAAGAGCCACGAAAGTAAATGCACTTTTAACATACTTTTTAGCTGGTAATAACACGGAGAAGAGATAAAAAACCACAATAGTTTAGTGAGTGTAAAATTTACCAAAGCGACAATTCATTTTGTTGCTTTTGTGATTTGATGACTGTTTAAAAGTACAAAAAAGATTACATTTTTGCTAATCAATTTGCTGGAGAGTTATGGTGAAACCGGAAAAGGCCTTTTAAGTAAGATTTTTAAGATTGCGACGGTCGTTTTGTTCTAAACGAATGTGAAATAATCACCGAACTTCTCCTTAAGACGGGAGTAAACTGAGCCACACTGTGAGACCATCGGTTGTTGTTGTTTGAAGCACCTGGGGCGTCCGTTCAAAGATCACACAAATTAAGTGTAATGATCTAATCAAAGTCGGATCGAAAGCTCGTAAAATCCGCATTTTACCGATTCGATTATGACAAACGTGCGAAACAGTCCAGAAGTGTCCATATAAGATCAGCCGGTGACGAAAGGCACAAATGCGCGCCATAAGAATGTCACATATGAAAAATCGTTCATACACCAACGTTCAATGATCAGTCGCAAACAATGGACAAAGAAACGGTTAAAGAGACGTTTAAATTGTCCAAGGAAGTGGGAGAGACGTGAATTGAACGTCTAGAAGCCGGTTTATGTGCAATTTTCTTGAACGGGATGAAATCCGAAGCAAGTGGCAACTGGTAATTTTATCTTCAGAACATTATTGAAAAAATTCGAGAAGTTTTCTTAAAAACGCATTAAACGCTACATTTTTCTCTCCAAATAGAAATTCGCGTCTTCCAAACCGATGCAAGTGGCAACTGGCAATTTTAACTATCTTCTGAACGGGATGATAACCGAGGAGTGACACTAAGGCTTGCAAAATTAAGTCTTCACAAAAGCAGGTGAAAAGCGATAATAAGTCGCACAATCAAAATGATGATTGACAAAAAAAGGTTGTCGGTAAACAGTCGGGGTTTCGATCCATCCAGCAGGTACGAAAGGAATGAAAGAGGTACAGAACACAGCCAACAATAAAACAGATCGAAATCTTAGAATACATTAGTGTGGGCTCGAGTCGCTTTTAAACCAGACCGGACCGCATGGCCTAAAAAGACTTACAAGAAATCGCGGGCGATTTCAAGGAATAGTGAATTGGAAATCC